CCGAGCGCTCCTACGTAAGAGCGAGTGGCAAAAGGTTTACAACAGGAACGGTAATCTGATCTTCTCGCTTTTTCTATTCTGCCCTTTACTCTATAATTATTTCATCATTCTCTATCTGATCCTCCTCCTCGCATCTATATTCTTGAGAGTTGAGACATCAATTCTAAGTGCTGACATTAGAGGCTGCTGATTGATATCCCTATCTGATCCACCCGCTGTTACGCATCATTACCTAGCGCAGCGGAACCGCCATCCCGGCACCGGGTTTTTGCCCCAGCGCAGGCCATTTTCGTTCCCGCCATCATCCCACCCATTATTCAGTCCTTTTTCTCCGCGGACCAGATCCTTCCAGCATCTCCCCATCTCGCTCGCCCTTCTCTTCTACTCTCCTGTCGAATCTGCATGTCCGCGGCTTTGGCAGCGCCCCATCTGTCCTGTCCTGAGAGACTTTGCAGCTCAATTGCTGGTTTTCGTTGAGCTTTTCCTTCATCCGGTCATTACTGCTTGTGAGAGTCAACCACCTGCCGTTGTCTCGTCTCGCCGCTCGCCTCGTTTCTTCCCCTTGCTATTCCTTCATATCCTTCTACTCTTCTGTCCCTCGGCAATTGATCGCCGTATCTCCGTCTCGAAACTTCTCAGCTGACACAATGGGTACGTCCGCACCTTTACTCCGCATTGAGACAATGGAGTCATGGCCTAACCGTTCGTTGACTATATAGTGCACGCCGTTTTACCACCAACGCCGTCCTCGACAAAGGATTCGAGGTTTAGTCACTCTAGCAATGGGGACTACCGAACCATCCCGGTCTCTTCCACCTCCCACCCAGACAACCCAGTTCCGGAAGAGCCTCGCATTCGGTCACTGTCGATCACTGACACGAGCTTCAATGGCTCGTCACCCGCTCAAGAAACCGAAGGCTCGTCCGACTTAGATACTCCGCCCACTCCTCTCACTCCGCTAGATGAAGAGCAGCCTGATTCACGCGAAAGCCAAAAGGAGTTAGCAGAGAGCGGAAATGGGCATCAGAGACGAGCATCCACTGTCCTCATCTCACAGAACTCTGAGGACATGAGACGGGTCTTGGAGAGCGTGGGTACCGCGGGCACACAGAAGGTTCAGCCTCTCTGCTGCGGTGGTGGATGCTGTCGTAGCCAGCCGTTGACCAAGCTCGGACCAGTCCCTAGTGCTAAAGCGGTCACTGCTCCGGACAATGAAGCCTTCAGGAAACTCAACCTCAATATTGAATACCTCACATTGGACAGCGAACTTACCAACATTGTTCCCATACCCGAGAAGACAGTGTCCTTCTCAGCGGTACCAGCATCGGCCGTGGATCTGAAGCTGGGCCCCGCGAATCACCCGCCCACTTTCGTTCAGCCACATCCGCCGTACAATGTGTACCGGGCGCCTTTGCATCATGCCCGAGAGCTCACCAAGCCTGGCGCGGAGAAGCGGACTTTTCATTTTGACATTGACGTGACCGACTACCCTGCGGAGAGCGGAGACGTTGATTTCGTTGTGGGCGGGGCGATTGGTGTCTGCCCCAAGAATAAGGAGGAAGAGATTGATGATATCTTCAACCAGCTTGGTATTCCCAAGTCCATCCGTGACAAGAAGATCACATTGCATACCACCAAGGGCCGGTGGCCTACGATTTGGGGCGACGACCAGCCTCGGGACCTGATCACTACCCGGAGAGAGCTCCTCAGCTGGTGCTCCGATATTCAGAGCTACCCGCCCACCAAGCCTCTATTCCGACTGCTCGCCGAGTACGCAACCGAACTAAACGAGAAAAAGATACTCATGTTCCTTTCTTCAGCGCAGGGCCAGGGTGCGTTCTGCGATCTCCGCACAGGATCCTACATCACCGTTTCCCAGCTACTCCATGCATTCCCCTCCGCTCAGCCACCCCTCGACCACCTTCTATCCGTTCTGAACACCCTGATGCCACGCTTCTACTCCCTGTCACAGGACCCTCAGATCTCATGCCAGAGGCAGGATACCAAGTGCCGTAGACTCGTTGAGATCGCGGTATCTGTGGCGGAAACCGAGGACTGGAGGGGCGGTACTCGGACCGGAGTCGGATCCGGATATCTTGAGCGACTCGCCAGACAGGCCATCGATGCGGAGCGGAAGGGCATCGATCCGCGGACTCTGGATCTCCACGTTCCCATGTTCCGTGGCCTGATGGCCAATCCTCTGGCCAAGCGATTTGCCTCCGACGGTCCCATGCTTCTCATCGGCGCTGGTGTCGGCGTCGCCCCGTTCCGAGGGTTCGTCCAGCGCCGTCTGCAGTCGGCTAACTGCGCCAACAAGGTTTGGGTCTTGCAGGGAATTCGTGATTCCCTTCTGGATGAGCTCTACAGCGGCGAATGGGGTGTTGAAGAGGATAAGGTGCGGACGGTAGTCCAGAGCCGTCGCGGCGAGAGCAAGTACGTCCAGGAAGAGGTCCGTCATCAGGCCGACCTCGTCTGGTTCGTCATCAATGCCCTTGACGGACGTGTCTTTGTCTGTGGTAGCGGCAAGGGCATGGGCGAAGGCGTCGAGGCGGCCTTGGTGGATGTTGCTATGGCCAAGGGTAACCTGAATCGCGAGGAAGCGGAGCACTTTTGGAAGAACAAGAAGGAAGCCGGTCAATATATTGCCGTAAGTTGCCCCTTTTTTGGGGGGAAAAAGAAGAGAATTTACTAACGACACATAGGAAACCTGGTAAATCCTCGTCCGTGTACATTATTCTCCAACTCGGCCTTTCTGCTATTTCATTCCTTGTGTCAGCGCATCACCAGAGTTGATCTCGGCTGGACCACGGTGGTTCGATTGACCGAAGGCATTTTCGCTGCGAGGCTCATTCCTGTGCTGGTTTAATTCAGTTGGTTAAGTACTATGTGATCTGGGGACTTTTCTATTGATTTTATCTCTTTTAGCGGGGGCGGTGCATTGACCTCTTATAATCTGGACCATCATCTGTTTCGCATTTTATCATGTGTATATACGCATATTTACATCATAGATTTGCCTTAGATGGTAGCAATATCAAGGAGTTGCATTTCACATCGCTGTACATACCCCGACGTCAGCAAAACAAGCGAGGTGACGCGGTCCAGCCCGCACCTTGAAGAGCGGCCCAGAGTGTCCGTTAATCTATGGAGGCAATCTTCAATTTGCAGGACCAGGTTAAGTACTGTCCCGGGCCAGTCGCTATAAGCCATATACTTGCACTGATCGTCCTAATGCGCGGGGGGGAAAAGAAGGCATATCAGCCTGCAATACCCAGTATAGGCGAGCACACTCCTGGGAGTCATTTTGACAAGAGACACCCCCAATGGAGAACACCGTTCCTCATCCCTCCATTTCATCAAATCTATATGGTCAGAGGCGATGATGGCCATTCTCGCTGACTGGAAGTGTACCTAGTTATGGGAAAAGAGGATATTAGCTGACGGAACCATTTGCAGTGAGCGTGAAGCAGCCCTGGTTAAATCAGAAACATGCGCGTTTCATCTGGAGAATGGATGCCTTGCTCTGCAGTCAACAGTTTGAGATTTAAGAATCGAACCTGCTTCGTTCAGCGATTGCAAGTGAGACCTGCAGCCCTGCTCATGAGAGCCGAGGCAACAAGCACAAGCATTAGCAGTCGTCACTCACACACCACGCTCCTGATCAAGTATCGCAAGAACACGCTCAGAACCAAAGCCCAACAAGGCGACGCGAAAACACATGTGCCACATCCCCAAACAAGGAATCATCTTCGCCGGAAGCGCAAGCGCAATCTGCACCACCTTCGCCAGGACCAGGTCTTAGGGGCATGTCGTACGATGTGCGCTATGTAAGCCACCAGGCCCAACAGGCGGGCCTACAACCCAATGATGCGTGCGGCGCAGTCAAAAAACGCAGGTATGGTGCAAGTGCAACCCCTACCATCCTACTCTGTCTCCGTGCCTAGGAGCGAACGCGTCGATCAGGAAGGACTTGGATCACATTACAGAAATAGTCTACCCCTCAACTCCGTGGTCCGTAGTCCATACTTGGTCTGAGAAATAGACAGAAACGAAAAAAAAGAAAAGAAAACTATTACAAGGTCATATTGCACAGTTGCGCTCAGGGACGGGCCAACCCCGTCCTTGATAGCTAGTCTAGCAGATGCGCAGAGTCAGACCCCGATCGGGATTTGGTGTTTTGGAACTAGATACATACTTCGTTGCTGGCAGGGTCTCTGGCATTGTCGGAGGTGGCCGACTGAGAGTACTCTATGAGGCAGGTAGACAACGTAGACAGTAGGCCAGATGCTATGGATACGCTATGGTTGCAGGACACAGTCACACAAGCCATATCCCGTGAATGGACGACGGTGATTGGTGCGGAAAAAGCTTCCAACGGCTGCTACGCGCTACCCTATTTGCACCGCAGTTATTTGTCAGACTGCGCCGTGAAGCAGGGGTTAGTCCGGTATTCACGACTCAATCTACCTCTCCATATTCTATTATAGATTGAACGTGTACGCGTAGTTCGTAGTCGCCTGGGATACTGATCAGTTCGAGATGCCTGATTGGGAAAACGGTGGCTCAGCGCCTGCACAGTGGCAAAGGATCCCTTGTACCCTACAAATGCCAGGTATTCATATCCATGACAAAACCTCCCCTTCAAGACCAGCGGCGAGGCGCATAGCATAACCAGGTTACCAGGATACCTTGCAGAACGAATGGGAAACAGTCGGGATCGACAAGAAGGGAGAAGGCTAATGTCAGTGACGGGTGCACTCGGCCACTTCGGTGATTAAGCCCGTTCCGTCTCTATTCCACCAGGAACTGACAATGAAACAAAGAAAAAACACAAATCGACCCAATTATTGGTTTTGGATCATGTCGATCCATGCCTAACCCACAATCTGCTGTTGAGCAGCCTGAAAGCAAAAAAAAAAAAAAAAGAAAAAAAAAAGGGGTGCATAAATTAGATTTCTTGGACTTGCAGATTGGCCCTTTTTACAGTGTGACGCTCTGCTCCCTTTTCTCCATCAAACATCCAATTTCCTAGTTTCTTTTTTTCCTGTGTCTCCAGTCTCCATCTGCAACGTTACCATATTTCAAGATGGACCACAGACGCTCGGGCAACTTCACTTATGCAGAATGCAATGCCAACTGGCGAAGACCAGTCAGTATTCCGTACGGCGTACCCAGGTACGGAAGACGCGGGCAGTACTGGTGGAACCGTGGTAAGGTATGTAAGCAAGTATGGTAATTGGTAATTCCCCGCCTCCCATGCCCAAAACGGATATTGCACCGCCTCAAAAAGTGTCAAAAGTCATAAAATAAGACCGGCTAGCCTCGAAGTTACCAGCCTGTTGGAACTTTATCGGGTGATCGCGATGGCGATGGCGATGGTGGGCGAGGAGCTCGATGATGATGATGATGATGATATCCATCGTCGTAGACTCATAGAGTACGTCAATAGCCACGGGCATAATATAACTCTACCGAGGACCGAGTACTGAAGTACTGATCGCCCTTATTCATCGTCCTTTGGTTGAATACTAGCGAGTCCGGAGAACATCTCCTCACATCTTGCAGATGGTAAACCAGGAAATCCGACCCCTCCCTACCCTCCTGTGCAGCCCGCCTTCACCGCCATGTGATACATCATGATCGGATAGATCGCGAATTGTCGCTCGACAGCTCCCCCGTGCTTCATGCATCAGTGATATGTGCGCACGGGCTTTAGCGTTAAATTAATTCCCAGTTACATAGTCAAGTAATACACCCTCCCGGATGACAATTAAAAAGGTAAACAGCCAATCAGGAGTGGCCCCTCCTACATTCTATACGCCATGCAAGCAGGGGAGGGGACGGTTGAACTGCCACTTTGTGCATGGCATGTTCCTATGGCCTATGGTGGTTGGAACGGGTTCTCATCCGCCACTCACGTATGAGATTGAAGAGCCCTGCAATGATACGGGCTGTGGCGCAAGATAATGGGAAATGCTCACTAGAAGCTCACATACTCGGCTTCGAATCTCGATCCTTTTGACAGTCGGAATGACGTGCATCAGTGGGTGTCGCGATCCTGCTAATGCTAGAACTTTGTACTGTACTTTGTAGGAGAAAGAATCCGCCTAGGTTCAAGAGATGTATCTTCCGTTCCACAACTCAGGTTCGGTATGTGGTCGTGCCGGTATTAGCGTTCCAACAGGCCGAGTTCATACCGTAAGTGATCTATCTATGCACTATTCCAAACTTCAGGAGGTACTTGGAAGTGTCAATCTGGCGTGCCAGGATCTGCGATAGGCCGGCGCGGCAAATCATGATGGGCGAACATTTCTGCCTGAGCAAGACCTTGGAGCGGGTCGTGTTGGCTCGTTCCATGGTTCGACGACTTTTCCCCGAACCATGGTTCGTCCAAGCCTTTAGTGAACTTGGTTCGAAAAGATCCGCCAATTTGGCTTCCATGGCTCACTCTTGGGCGGATGAACTAGAGCAGGGGTATGAGGGTTTCAAGGTAGACATGGGAACATGGTGGAATAGGCTTCCGCATATCGAGTCTTCCCGCTGTGTCACTGACAGCCCAAGGTCATCCTGCAGAGTCTCGCCAATCGCAATTCTCGCCTGTGTTGACCGGTAGTCAAAGACTAATCATAAAGAAATCAAGGAGTTTGGTTAAATTATGCAGTCTGCTTAGTATTCCAAAACGCAGAATGTGTCCGGTCTGGTGGACGAAGGAAGAGATAAGAGTGAAAGCACAGAATCAGTGCAGGGTGAAAAGAGGTGGCTGGGAAGTTCTACCAACATGACATGATCACATCATCCATACTTGTACAGATCGTTCAGATGCTTAGGGTGTCGCTCAAACATTGCAACTCATGAGAAACCATATGATAGCCACGATAAATGCATATCAAAAAGGGAAGACACGGAAACGCATTGGTGTATAAATAAGAAAAAAAAATGAAAAATGAAAAATGAGAACCCGTAAACACCTGGTATGCATATCCAAAGTACATGGACTCTGGTGTCGAGAATGAGTCTCAGGCAGGATAACACTCGTCCCAACGTTGACATATAATGCGTAGCCGTATAGAGGATCATCAACGAGATTAGATTATTTGGAAAGGTTCGGAGGGTATCATGATCGTGCGGGTCTATTCTTGCTCGGCTTGCTCGTCGTAATCAGGGATGTTCCCGGAAGGGAACGGGCACACGAAAAATGAGAGGGCGGCTCAATGCTTGTTCGTACTGTTGAGCCTATTCGGTGACTCGGAAGACGTTTGCTCCATGTCGCTGAACGGTGATTGCCGCTGCGAATCAAGATCACTAGCACCATTTCGCATCTGATTCCGAAGCGCGGGAAGCTGTCGTCTCCGTGCATTGATAAACCAGTTGCTAATCTGCAGCGCGCAAGTCGTTAGCGAATGTAATCAAGAAAAAAGGGTGTTGGGAAACTAACCTGGCTGATCGTAAGCCCGGTGCGGGTCATGAACATCTGTTTATCTTCCTCGCTCGGGTAGGGGTGATCCAGATGCTCATGGAACCAGGCCCTTAAAATATCAGTGACTGGCTTGGGAAGATTCCCTCGCCTGCGCTTGTTCTTCGAATCAACCGAGTCCCCCAAGATGCCGAAGTTTGACTGTTGTGATGGCGGCAATGACTGCGAAGAGGCCTGCTCTGAATCGCTTTGATAGATGACCCCGGATAAGATGGATACTGTGGCTGAGCATGCATCGCTGCCGGCACGCTGTTTCCAGCATATGGATCCCGCCGGTCACCCATTGAGCCCGGTAAACTCGTAGGTGGTGCGCCAACGGCACCCCCTCGAAATTCCTGAACCGCAAATGCATCCGTCCGGGATGGTCCCCGGTGATCTGGTAATCCGGTGGCTGGCGCATTCAGAGAGCGATCGGGAATGGTTTGAAGGTCTCGGATGGATGGCAGGATAGGACTCGGGCCACGAGCGGCTGCTGGCTGTACTCCGTTCCCTGGTAACCGCGGCTGGACAGGCGCCCGTTCCCCCAGCATTCTATCGGCCATAGGATAGTCGCGAATGTCCCTACCGGGAACTTAGAAGGAGATCCGTAGGGTGTCCGGCCTGAGAGGGGCCTGGATGCAGGTCCAAACTCATGGTTCAATGACGCAGGACGCTCGTGCGATGATGGTTGCCGGGATGACAGGTACGAGCCGGACTCGATTTCGTCATGCAGATGAGGCGGGAGAAGCTACAGACTGTCAGCTACCGATGTTCCTATTCGGGAATCACGTCTTGCAGAATTGATGCTTTCCTTACCTCTCGAAACGAGGGCAGAGACTGGGTGTGATCGGCGGAAAGTCCACTTGCATATGAAATGGCCATTTTTCCACTCTTGTCATCCACCTCACCGTGCTGGGACATAAGACAGTCAAGACTGAGGAGTCGATCTGGGGAGCGATCACTCGTCCTAAGGATCAGAAGGAGGGGCTTAGAGCAACTGCAGATCGGAATGTATAGTCAGATGATTCGGAGAGGCACAGCCGGCCTGCGGCATCGACTCAGAGCCAAGTATTTGGAGTGCTCGGGCGACGGTGATTGCTTGACGTAGTTTCAGAATGCAAAGAACAGGAGTGGAGGTGTGCCTGTCCAGTTTCCGTGGTGTAGTTATATGAATGGCCAAGAGAAACGAGAGTAAGTGGGAGAATATGAAGAGGTAAAGGATTGGTGAAGAAAGGCCGGTAGTAGAAGAAGGGTTGTGGAAAAAGCAAAAGGCTGAACGATAGAGATTGTAATCCGATGATGCTGATGATGAGTGATAAATGGAGGGGATTGGGCGACAATTATGAGTATTATATTTGATTATGTTACCTACCAGAAATAAGAAAAATTAAATAAATTAAATAAATCGAAACACAAATAAAAATAATAAAATAAAAATTAAAAAACTCAAATAAAAATAAAACAGTCCAAAATATTGGTATCTTGACATTGCCGCTCACGATGACGATGGAGACAGCTGAACCAAGGTTATGCAAGGTAAAGAGTATGAGACAGCTTAACAATTGGATCGGGGCTGGACAAGATCTGTCGTCGGGGTTCAGACCTTCATTTCCCTCCTTCCTCTTTTTTCTCTGCTTTTCTCAGTGGCCCAATTAGAGGAATAGAAAATATGTAAAAGTGTAAAGTAGTGTCAGATTCTTAGTCTAATACACATACTTGCCTAAGTACCCAGATAGGACTCGAGAATCGAGGTCAACAAATGTCAAATTCGCAAATCAACCGCATTGAGAATTGTGACACGCCACTGGGAATTCTGCACGACCACCTGTAAGAGCGTTAGTCCTGTAACCATCTTTAGAATGCTTAAGATTCTTGGAGGCGTGAATCCATAAGTCGCAGGATCCGGCAGCTTGTTTCCAACGGAGTCATCTCAAGCGAATCCATGGAAGTAATAAAAAAGTCAAGAACAGGGGGTGGGAAAGAGGCGGATCCAAGAGAATCGATGATCGTGGGTGGAAGTGGGTACAGTAGCCACAAACTACAGACGACCGTCAGTTCCTTCGTCGGGAACCAAAATAATGGCATCCATGATTAATCGGGTTAAAATACGTAGTAGGCTAAAAGGCTTAGACTAGAAGGGGAGACTGGCCGAAGGAGGGGAAGGGGGTAAGGTGAGAGAGATTTGGAGTTTAGAATTTTACAATTCGGAACTGTTGGAGTCTGGGCGGGAGGCTTGGAAACTTCCGCACAGGGGGAAGGTATCAGTACGAACTGGCTGAAAAGTGATAATTTACAAAATAAGAAATAAAAATGGGGTGCCGAAAACGATTTTTTCATTTTGAGAATTATTCTCTAAGGGCCCTATCAGAAATATCCCAAGAGGTTGACAGATGGAGCCAAGGATCTGGAGCTGCCCTTGATTGGTAGTAGTAGATAGATTGATGTCCCAGTCTGATTGCAGCACCAATTCTCGACAATCTAAAAGGTCAACCTTCACACTTTGCAAGGAAGCCTACAGATGATGATCTGTGTGTTAGAGGTGGGTTTGCACATGCTCGTTGGTATAGTGACTATCTCGGTATCTCCAGTGAAAGGGATCGAACCAGGAGCACAAACCTGGTTTAAGATCCATGGGCTTACCAATGTATCAAATTAGAGGTATGAGTATGACCATCCTAGGTATGCACAGCAGGCATGGAGTCGTCAGAATCCACAAATCTCAATGGGGAACCGATAGGATTTCCTAGTCTTGTCAGTCGTCGGCATGTCTTTCTGTCAGAAAAAAAGAAAAAATGGAGACATCCCCAATCTTGAGCTCAAACTTGATCAGGTTGATCAGAGAGCCTGAACCCCCCCTCATGCCCTATGATTTGTTACTAGTTACCTTCCAGAAACCGACTAAAAGACTCTAGTGTCTTCTAAACTTTTTTAGGCGCTTTACGGATATTGCTAGTGGCAGGGCGTCGTTCCTGATGTCTGAACACCCTGTCATCTATGAACTTCTTGCCCCATAGTCTAGGATCCCCAGGCACCGGACTCAGGATTCGGGGCCCAAGGATGTTGGCGCTCAAACCTTTGTTTCCCAAGTGGTTGTTAACTTGTCATTATCGCCACTAGCAATATCGGTATGCGGTGTTTCAATACATGGTTGAGGATGAACTAAAAGGGGGGAACTACTGTCTTCCAGAAGGATTTTGAGCCAAATAGCCAATACAACGTGGTAGCTTATCTGAAATCTGAATCAGATAGAAGGTTAGTTGGATGGTGGCTGACATTGTTTCAAACTTTCAATAATAACAATGCTATTAATACATGTCCAACAAGTGCAACCGAGGCTGCAACTGGGCAAAGGGACACACAAATGGGTTTTGACACTCAGAATATCGGGTGGAATCTCCGGGAAAACCAAAAGTGATCGCCAGGTGTCCCTCGCCGAATTGGACCCACTTGGGTAATTGTGTCAGAGAGACGCGGAGCCTGGAGGAGTAAAGAGTGAAGACAGCAGCTGCAGATCAGGACGGTAGAGATAAGTTGGCAGTCTAGGTGAATCATGATTGCAGTTGGAGTACACTATGACATTCATTTTACGGACTGCCCCTCTAGAAATCCACATTTTCCAGTCATCCATTTTACCGGGCTCCCGCTGCAAGTGGCAGTAACCGACATGAACCAACCGATCGACGGCTCAGAGCGTCGCAGCGAGATCGATCGAATAGTGTGGCAAAAGAAGAGATGAAGAAAGGCTGCGAGGGCTGAACTGGGGATGACAGTCGAAACCCTAACTTGCTTGACGTCGGCAGGGCCAACTGTCAGACGAGACTAGTCCGAATCCGGGCATCCCAGTTTCCCAACTTCCTGGACAAGGAAGGGCTGATCGCCCGAGGTGTTCCTTTGTTCGAGCCCCACCTACAACACTGGGATTGGAGCTGCAATATGTGGTGCACCAGGATCCACGTCGTCACTGTCTCCTCCGTCACTGTACATTAGTTACATGCAGTCCACTGCACATCATTCACATCCCGATCATCCAATTGCTGGATAGGACCGATCCTCATGACTCCGACGATGGAGACAAGCTGGAAGTCTGAAGATCGCGGGGAGAAAGAAAGGTCCTTGCATACAACTCGAATTACGGCACTGCTGCCTGGCAACCGTCAGTTCCACTAATTGACCGTAGAAAAAAGGGGCCAGGTCAAAGCAACAAGATAGTTATTCTGTTGACAGTGTGCTGCTTGGGCCATTGACTAAATAGTAGCCTCGCATGACGCTGATAAAGAGTCAATAAGACTGATTGGTGTGACAACAGGGTGCCCATACAGTGTAGTAACTGTTCACGCGCCAGTGCAAACAGGAGGCAGTATGCAAGATCCGCTGCCCCGTGCATATGACATCTCAACAACTACCGGCTAAAGGGTGGGTACCGAAACTGGCATGCGGCCATACGACTACGACCTGGCATGGAACCACGACTAGTGGTTTAGGGTGTGCGCTTCCATATTATCAAGGATCGAAAGTGTATGGAGTACTCCGTACTCTTAATACTTTGTACCTACTAAAGGTAGCCATCACCACTTCTGCAGCCCGTATCAACGAATGCCGTGACGTGCGCGACTGGCCATCGTTGGCTGGAGCCGATTCGACTCAAGGCGGAGTTCCATAGTTCCGGGACCATAACTTCTCAAGACAACCGATTTGGCTTTCCCTCGCTTGGGTTTATGGGATATCTTGAAAATGGATCCGCATTGTGCCAAGGTTGCGGCAAGATTGTCAGATGGCCCAATTTGGAGGGCCACATGAGATCAGAATACCACTAGTCGGGGAGGATGCAACCATGGAATCAACCAAGCTAGTATCATGAACTGCTTCGATTCGCAGTTTCACCTGTGGAGCGCTTACACATCGCACAACTGCGGATAGTCCCAGGCGACAAGGAGACTGAGCAGAGTCGATAGGCTGGAGTCGCAGGCATCCATTGACCTGGAGCTGTAGGCCGATCGGAAGATTCAATTTTCAAATCTTCCAGAAAAGGTCATATCGTTCGCCAATGATTCTAAGACATAGCGGTTCCAATGCATGCGTCGAGTTTAGTAATCAATGACAACAGTGGTGGAGAGTTGTCACCCACGAGACGTGACTTCTAAGGATCTTCTCGCTAGTTTTTCCTAATCATGAGTTCATGACTATCCCAATTCTCGCAGATCACAATGAAGTTTAACTCCCTAGTCATGAGTAATAGACACTTAGGCTTTACTTGCCCATCCATGCTCTACAGCAGATGCGCAAGTAGACGTAAGGGTTGCTGTGGCATGCAGGACAGTGGCGGGAAGCCCCAAATCCCGGATTGGTTGTCTAGAGTCTGAACCCATCCCATAGACTCATAGCCTCATAGATAGGGGTGGATTGCCTGGGAACGGCAGGCCCGTGGGGCCAAGTCCCATTGTACCTGATTCATCGATTCCACCAATGAATTGATCCATGACTGGATTCATCCTACGTAGTTCTCATTTCTGAAGGGTGACCACGTCTGTTCCAATTGTTCGTGCGCTTAGGCCAGCAGTCACCATGGCTGTCCACTGCTCACCGACATTGCTAAGTAAACTTGGCAAGGGGAGCAGGGAAGTCCATGATCAACTCAGGGAGAATGGTCAAAGTTTGTGTCTGGAACAATGATGATGTCGGGTGATACCTGAAAAGAGCATTGTTCACTTACTCAGAATGGTTAACACACCGCGCTGAAATATGAATGAAGCCTTGGGACAGCCAAAGAGATTGGAGGTGGCGCCGTGGCGGACAACCTCTTGTTGGATAGAGTTCGGCCTGCAAACCCTCAGCGGCCTCAGCCCCCGTTACCATGGTCAGCTTGCTTTAGGGCGGAGTACTTAGGAGTACTCAATATAATTCAATATTCAGCGCAAGCTGAGATGAGCAACCACGGAATGATTCGCGTGGTTATTTTATTTTACTTCATTTGACACACTCGTAAAAGCTAAGCTTTGCTATATCTCCAGTTTTCAGGTGTCAATCGCCAATATCGACGATTCATCATCAGCAAGCATGGGGAAATTTCGGCATGACACCACGGATGAAAGTCAGTAATCCTGATTGACGACCCTTGGTAGCGTTGGACGTCTGACAAGCGAAGATCAGCAACTGACATTCAAACCTGATGGACAAGGTTGACAGCGGATGCTCCAGGTCAATGGGACTGTTTTCGTCCCTTTCCCGAGAATTATACCGACAGCCCATCATTGGCGCCGAGTATGTTGTTGGCCAGGAGGCGCAGTACGTACTTCTAAAGATTATATAACAGTAGCAGTATGGATTCTGCTTTCGCTATGGTGTTTGCATTGCACTTTAGACCTGCCTCTTGAGGTACTCCGTGATCCGGACTCCATACGCACTCCATATCTTGGAACAAAATTCCAAATTCTACCAGCTGCAGCTTGCAGATGACAGGCTGGACAAGGACTGCCTTTCCGTGTGTCTACAGTTAGGGGGGAGCCGAGGACCGGATCGAGGCTGAAATGGGGCCTGACAGGGCGCCAGTCGCCACTAGTTTTTGCACTGTAGGATGTGCCTAGTAGATACACTATTACTCCGTACAGCGGGATAACAGGTAGGGGATACTGAGTACTCGTAACCCCGGCGTAAGGTATCTCAGGCGGTATCTACTACCTTTACCTAGATAAGTATAGCGAGTCTAGGGGGTTGATTGCCAGCCTGCCACAGTCCCACTGCCAGGCGTACCCACTTACTACATAAATACTACGTAAGTTACTAGATTTAGTGCAGTCAGCCAGTCACCCTCAAGGACCAATCATCACAGAAGACTCAGATCGTGCATGAATGGAGTACGGAGTAAGTGTGCAGATCAATTCTGGATCTTGCAGGGTGAAGAATCTACCTTCTCGAAGACGGGATAGGATCGGAATGTTTCCCTGCAACGTACTACACGCCTGCCCCCCTGAGAATTGCTACCATGAAAGATTAGTGGAATGAACGGTAACGGCGTTGAAGAACAGATCTACCTTACCTACAGTCCAGGAGATCATCGTCCATCTACCCGAAGATTCGGGATGTACCTCTGTGAAGTTGGAATGGTTGCAGCTGGAATTTGTCATCTTTGGCTGCCGTGTCACC